TGCTCGGGGCGGGGCCTAGGGCAGAGCGGGGACGGGGTGGGGCGGACCAAAGGCCAGGGGAGGGCGGGGTTGTCGTCTCCCCTAGAAGTAGGAGAGAGTGAAACCTCACAGGGATAAATTGAGCCTCAGTCACTCCCACTTCCGCCCCAGGTTACCGGGACCGCAGCTATGACCCTCCATGCCCAGGCCACTGGACGCCGGAGGCACCGGGCTCGGGGACCACATGCCCCGGGTTGCCCAGAGCTTCAGACACCGACGAGGCCGGGGGCCTCGAGGGCTGCGAGGCAGTGCAATCCGGGACCCCAGAGGAACCAGAGCCAGAGCTGGAAGCAGAGGCCTCTGAAGAGGCTGAGCTGGAGCCAGAGCCAGAGCTGGAACCCGAGCCTGAAGCAGAACCAGAGCCGGAACTGGAGCCAGAACCGGACCCAGAGCCGGAGCCCGACTTCGAGGAAGGGGACCAGTCGGAAGGTGTGAGGCCGCCCAAACCCTGAGCCAGCTTGGCGGGAGGGCATGGCCTGGGAAGTGGATGCGGGACCCCAACTCTTTGACCACTGTTCCCCGTCATCTCTAGATTCCTGAAGGCCAGAACTCTGACTGGCCGTGCTCCGCCCATGCTGGATAGGACCTGGGATGCTGCTGGAGCCGAATCGGATGCCACCAAGGCTCAGTCCAGCCCAGTACTGCTGGAAGTGAATAAACTCCGGAGGGTCCACCGGGACCTGGGCTCTCTCCATGATTCTGGCTATTTGCCCAGGAACAGAGGGTGGGTACCTCTGAGTCCCAGGGACCTGGGCAGCCCCAAGCCTACCACAAGCATCATCCAGTCCTCAGCCCTAATCTGCCCTTAGGAGTCCAGGCTGCACCCTGGAGATCCCAGACTAATCCCCTTAGTGGGACAAGGACCTGATCCTCATGCCCACATACACAACCCATTTCCCCTCATGAGCCACTTGGGAGCCTGTGTAGGTACCAGCTCAACCCCATGCAAGTCCCTGGGCTGAACATGGAGCAAGGGGAGGGTGACTTCTCTCCACGTAGGGAGGGCTTAGAGCTCACAACCTTGGGAAGTGAGATTAGAAGAGGGGAGCAGAAAGGGACCTTGGGTAGACAGAGGCCACACACATCATTGTCATTACTGTTTTAATTGTCTGGCTTCCCTCTGAACTGGGAGCTCAGTGAGGACTCTGACCAGTAACTTACACAAAAGGCGCTCTATACATATTATAATATATTCAATGACTAAATGAACAAGGACTTTCCAACTGTGTTTCTGAGTTTTACAGATGGGAAAACTAAGGCCAAAGGATAGGAGTGGGGCTCATACAGCTAAGTCTGAAGGGAAACTGGAAGCAGCAACCACCTCTGCACCTCACCTGGTCCAAGAGGGGTTCAGGACTTGGGCCACCAAACTCTAGGGCCTGTCCCTCAGAGTTCCTAGGCTGCTCCTAGTCCCTGCAGCTGCTCCTAGGCTATGCCAACCTCTGCCAGAGACCAGCTGTAAGGGTGTGAGTAAAGACAGGAACAGCAGAGGCCAGTAGAGGGAGTGGTGACAGGGCCAAGGGAGCTCTTGGGCTTGACTCTCAAGGCCTGAATCACTGTGTGTGTGTGTGTGTGTGTGTGTGTGTGTGTGTAATGGGAGTGGGGCTGGGAAAATTGGTGCCTTCCAGGAAGGAATGTCCTGTTCCCCCGCCCACAAAACCTTCAGGAGCTGCTGCTCCCAGTCATAGGAAGTAGACCATATAAATATGGAATAAATATATGACCAGTGACAGAGGCAAAATGTCAGAAAGCAGACCCCAGACCAGCTGGGTCTCTACTACCAGGACCCCAGGCTCAGGCCATCAATCACCCCAGGAGAAGAGATCCCAACCCCTACCAGGACCCAGTGAGAGGTAGACAGCACGATTGCTGAAGGAGCACCAAGGGGCCAGGTGAGGGAAGGGAGACTGGAGTACTGGGACAACCAAAGCCATCTCACGCAAGAACAAGTTTCTATTCCCAAACCACCCCCATCCCCATCAATGCTCAGCTCCCTTCCTGCCCCCATGGCTTCCCTCTGCTCAACAGAGAGCTGGAGGCAGGAGGGGGACTCAGTTTGCCAGACATGCTGCTGCAGGTCCCCAGGCCCCAGGGAGGCTAGCAAGGGACACAAACCCTTTGATGTTGCCACTCCTCCTCAAGGAATGCTCCTGCCCTCCCAACACCCCCAAGAAACACCCAGGCCGTGGAAGCACGGAGCAAACAGCTTCATGTTCTCGGGGCCTATCTGGAGCTTCTGTCCAGGGCCTCTGTCTGCAGCCCTCAACGGACATCAGTCGGGTAGCAGGCGACCCAGCTCTGCCTCATCCAGCCGGTTGGTGGCCATGATGTGCTCCAGCTGCTGCCGGTAGCGTGCCAAGTCCTGCATGAAGTGGGGCACCCGGGTATTATCCAGCACCCCATGGGGCCGCAGGTGGTCCACATCCTCATAGGACACCTGCAGGAGGAAGCTGGGCATCAGGTATAGGCAGCGGCCCCTGGCTTTTAGGTAGTGGGTTCCAGCCCACTGCTTACGGCTCACTGCCCTTTGCTCCAGGACTCCCCTCCTGATCCACAATTAGCTACAACGTTTTATACCTCTAGACTCAATCCTTGGTCTTTGCTCTTTCTCTCAATAGTTTCTTTTTGTCATAGATGCCCTACAACCCCACTTCTCTCTCTAGCCCAGCCTCTCCCCTCACCTCCAAACATGGACATCCAACTGCCTCCTTAATGTCTTCCCCTGGATAGCCCTCAGGGTGGCCCCATGTCCAACAGTCAACTCCTGAGTTCCAGCTTATGCCAGCTCCACCCTCTTCATAGTCACCCAGGTCAGATTCCAGGGAGGGGGCTTGGACTCTCACCCTCCCATCATGGTAGCCACGGAGTTAAAAGGATTCCCCTCTCTGAAGAGCTCTCCAGCTCGTCCCTTCATCTCCAACCCAATGGCCACTGCCTGGTTAGGCCAGACCACCATCCCTTCTGCAGGAGTGACAGGAAAGGCCTCCTCCATGCCCCTGCACTCCCTTCCCTAGTCCTCTCTCCAATCCACCTCCCATATGATGTCCAGAAGGAGCCTTCTGAAGCAAATATCAGTGTCAGTCCTCTGCTTAAAGCTCCTCCCACTCCCCTTTGCTTCAGATGAAGTCTGCTTTCCTCGGCCTGGCACAAATGCCAGTGCCAGGGAGTTGCTCCCTGGCCATTTCTGCAGCCTCCTTCCCCTGGCCTTCCCCTGATGGCTCCCTTGGCCTGGAATGCTCACCTTCTTTGAGATGCAGTATTTACATACACCTGCAGCCTCCGTTAAGCACCTGGTTTTGCTGCCAGTCATTTCATCTCCTGTTCTCACTTCCACCCACACTCCCCCCACCACCAGAGGCCTGGCACCCAGCCCTCGGTCTAGCACCAATCCGAGGCTCAGGGAATTCTACAGCGAGGCAGGGAGCTGGCCGGAACCTCTGAAGGTCCACAGCCCCTCACCTTGCCCAGTGAGGTCAGCAGCGGGAAATCGATGGTCTGGCGATGTCGCAGAATGCGCACGATGCCGTCCAGGTACACCTGGTCCTTGCTGAAACAACCTGGGAGCGCAGGAAGGCGGTGAGCCCCTCGACCGAGGCCCTGCCCCTCTCCCCGCCCCCACCCCGCTCCAAGCACCTCCCCTGCGCTGGCGCCCACCTGGCAGCGAGGTGTCGGTCTGGCCGCGCTTGGCGCGCACGCAATACTCCCAGCGCACGTCGGCGTCCTGCACGTAGCGCGCCAGGTCCTGGAAGAGCTGACGGAAGGACATGCGCGCGGCGCGGTGGATGGTGTAGTAGAGCAGCGCAGCGCGCCATAAGAACGGCTGCTTGCGGAACAGCACGCTGTGTAGGCTGGCCAGGCCCTCCTCCGTGGGGTTAGCCGGCCGCAGCCCGTACCGCAGCCGGCCCTCCGCGTTGTGCCACGGCTGGCGCGCGTTGTTCACGCCCCGCAGGTAATGGGTGCCTGCGGGGAAGGCGAGGGGAGGCGGCGCTGGGTAGGGCGTTCAGGGACCCGCCTGTGAGCCCAGTCCTGGCCCCTCTCCACCTGGCGGGGCTCTGGCCGCGACACTTCCATCCTCATGCTCCCAAACTCAGGCTCGCACAGAAGCTCTCCCAGCCCCAGGCAGCGTGAAGCTCCTCCTCCGGTGGACTCGCACCCAAGGATCCACAGAGGCTCACATACATGAATCCTCTCCCACCCATCCGTCCCCCACCTTACACCCACGCACCCACACACGTGCATGAACTCTCCCGAACTGACACTGCCCCCAGCCCTCCTGGGCACAAGAATATATATACCACCCTGCCCAACATCCTAGGTGCCCACATCATCTTGAACAGTCACGCTGATGCACCCGGTAAAAAACACCTCTTGCCCAGAGCAATAGGATTCTCGAGGAAGAGGGACAGACAGAGAGGAATAGCAGTGAGTGCCCTGCATCCTCCTGCCCAGCCTGGCCAGTCCCCTCCTAAACCAGGCGCCATGTGTCCTCAAGCCAAGTCCATTCCCAGGATCTGGCCTTCCATCCACCCTGGAGGGCCAGCGTGGCGGGTGGCCTGGTGGGACCCTGAGGCTTCTCCTTCTGGCCTGTCAGGGCCTCACCAGCCTTACCCCCACTGTCGAGAGAAGTCAGAGAGGAAGTGGAGAGAGAAAAATATACCCGAAAGGACCAAGAGATGAGGGCGAGCCCAGAGCATGGGCAGGCATGTTCTGGCCTACCTCTGTGAGCCAGAGGGCGGAGGTAGCTGCTCAGGAAGGGAAAGCCCTGACCTCAGAAGGGAAGGGGTGGAAACAAAAGGGGGAGTTATTGGGGCCCCTCCTTCCCACCCCTCCCAGCTCCCAGGCCCCTTTCATGCCTACCCATCCACCCGGATACCCACACCCTGACCTATCTCATGCCGCAGCATGCCCTCCAACCAGTACTGGCGGGCTCCGGTCAGGTTGATCGCCAATGTGGGCCGGCTGTTCTCCACCATCATCACTGCCTGGGACAGCAGGTCCTCACTCAGCTGCACCACAACCTGCAGGTGGCAGTGCTCTGAGCCATGGCCACCAGCCTGGGGCCAGGGTGCAGGTCGACCCAATGATGCCACAGGGCGGCAGGGCCAGACAATTGGCCAGGGCACCCGCGCTTCATCACCTCTGCTCAGAACCAGCTCCCACCTCACTGGGGCAGGGGCAGGGGTGGGTTATGTGTGGAGCTGGACCTGGGGTCACCCACAAGACACCCTGATTTGGGGCATGTAGAGGAAGGGCTCTGCAGGCAAGCTCACCTCCCCGACGCAGCCCTCCTTCTGCATGTATTTGCGCACAATGGACCATATCTGGCACTTGGTGAGCAGCTGCCCCCCGGTGGCAGCCTCAAAGTGTTCATAGGTTCCAAACTTCTCCAGAACAGCCTCAATGATGCCAACTGCCTGTACACGGGGCCACAGTGGCTGGTCAGGACAAGCCCCTTGGGTGGTCAGGGCCAGGGTATGGTGGGGAGGCTGGACTGACCTGATGGATGAACTGTCCAGAGGCCTCGCAGTACTTCTCCAGCACAGCTGTGGGCATGGGCTCCTGGTACTCGAATTGTGGATTGTAGGTGTAATGGGACTGGAAGAACTTGTCCCGCTCACGGTCCATATTGGTTGGCCGCAGGGCCACCAACATGCAGGGGCTCTTGCTGGCACTATGGCCTGCATCCCTTTGAGTCTTAGCAATGTGAGGCAGGGAGGCTGCAGGCCGCAGGGTGCCCCCACCTGGGTTCTGTCCCCGTCCAGGTGGAGGCCGTCCCAGGGTGCCACGTCCCCGCCGGCCAGTACTATTTACAGAATAGGTGCTCTCACTGCGACGCATGTGGCCACGGTGGCCCAGGTGCATCTGTGAGAAGGGCTGCTGCTCAGGCTCGGGCTGCAGTGCTGGGGGGACTGCCAGAGCCAGGGGCAAGGCCAGGGACTGAGACCAGGGGTACAGTGGTGGCCCATCTCGGTCTGAGGGCTTCAGTCTATGGCGCAGGGATGGGGGACTGGTAGGCGGGCTGGGGGGTGCCTGATCATACGCCTGAGCCCCGGAGTCCAGCACCATTCTGTCTTGGGGGTCACATCCAGCCGGGTCACTCCAACTCCCGACACTGTCGACCTCTGGGGACACAGAAGGGCATGTGGAGACCAGCATGAGTGGGTGTGACCAAACGACCAGCAGGCCCTGTACTCCACGTTGCCTCTGCTGGGCCCTTGGTGGGCCCAGGCTCTGCTACCAGGGGTCTGATTGGCTGCAGCGTCCATTGCTTCCAGCAGACTCACCCGAGTATGCTGGGCCGGGGGAAAGCACTTTTTTGTTTTTGCTCTTTGAGACGGGGTCTTGCTCTGTCACCCAAGGTGGAGTGTAGTGCAATGATCGTAGCTCACTGCAGCCTCCAACTCCTGGCCTCAAGTAGTCCTCCCGCCTCAGCCTTCCAAAGTGCTGGAATTAAACACGTGAGCCACCGCACCCAGCCGAAAGCAAGTTTTAAACACCCACCTAGATGGTGGTTACTGGAATCCTTTCAGCCTGAGCTCCTGAAGGCAAGGACTGAGCCCCTTACTCGTGATTCTAACCTCTGTACTCAGCACTCACTTAATCTGGGAGGTGGTACAGTGTGGCTTCAGCTGCCTGGGCAGATTAGGTAGGTGAGAAAGCCTCAGGGGCTGCCTTCTGCCCATGGCATCTTCTCAGTGCCACCGCTGCCCACCCATCTGGCTTTACCCACATCATCCTGCCCATTTGGCCTCAGTCAGTTTCAATGTCTGAGGGCCCCATGCTTACGCCAGTACCCCCCAGAATGCCTTCTCTCCTCTGAGCCATCTGTTGAAATCCAAGTTAGAATCTGCTTTTGGGGAACAGAAGGAAGCTTCAGCAAATCCAAGCCAATCCCTGGCTTGTCACCTATCTGAGGAATCTTTCCAGTGGTCATCCAAAGCGAGTGTCAGGGTGCTCACCCTGACTCTGTTCCAGGACTCAGTCCAATCTTGTCTCTCCCCAGAGACTGCCTAGAGAGGCTGCAGCTGCTGAGCTTCCTTGCCTGCTCAGCGACTCACTTCCATCACTTCCTACATCATCAATCTCTTCCTCTCTACTGGAGTCTTTCCATCAGCATAAACACATGCTGTTATTTCTCCATCTTAAAAAACAAAACAAAACCCTCACTAGAACCCACACTCCTCCAGCTACAGCCCCACTGCATCTTCCTCCGTCTGCTGCTATTGCAGCACATACCTGTAGTCATCTATACCCAGTCTGCAGTTCCTTCTTTCCTGTTCTCTCTTAAATACACTCCAATTAGCCTTTTATTCCCGGCACTCCATCCAAATTGATCTAATCAAGGTCACCAATGACCAGCAATGACCTTCATATTGATCAGCACCCGATACAGTTAATCACTGCATCCTGGAGGCCAGGCAGGGTGGCTCACGCCTGTAATCCCAGCACTTTGGGAGGCTGAGGTGGGCGGATCACCTGAGGTTGGGAGTTTGAGACCAGCCTGACCAACATGGAGAAACCCCGTCTCTACTAAAAATACAAAATTAGCTGGGCGTGGTGGCACATGTCTGTAATCCTAGCTACTCAGGAGGCTGAGGTAAGAGAATCGCTTGAACCTGGGAGGCGGAGGTTGCAGTGAGCCAAGATTGCACCACTGCACTCCAGCCTGGGCAACAACAGCGAAACTCCGTCTCAAAAAAAAAAAAAAAAAAAATCACTACATCCTGGAAACATGCTGTCCACTTGGTTTTCCAAAGACACTCGAACTTAGTTCTCCTCCTACCTTGCTGGTCATCCCTATCTCCCTGACCTCTTAACACTGTAACACTCCAGGATTTGTCTATGGAAACTTCTCCATTTATGTTCACTCCCTAGGTGTTCTCATCCACTCTCGTGGTTTTAAATACAGTAGCTCAGACTTCTTCCATAAAAACTTTAGACCAGTGTTGCCAATTTCGGTGCAATTTGACATAGTGTCTAGGCTGGTCTTGAATTCCTGGCCTCAAGCGATCTTCCCACCTCAGCTTTCCAAGTAGCTGGAACCAAAGGCACATGCCATCATGTCCAGCTTCAGTGCACTGTCGTCACTTGAATGTCTAACAGGCATATCAAACAGAATATGTCCTCTGTCTGGGATGTTCCTCCCCCTATATAATGGCATGGGTCACTTTCTCACTTTCCTCAAATCTCTGCACCAATACCATGTTATTAGAAAAGCCTCTCTAACACACCCTCTATAAAATAGTAAACCTCCTCTCCCCTCTCCACTATCTTCCCTTCCCCAAATTATTGTTCTCTCTAGCAGTCATCACCATCACTTCAGTACACTTTACATTTGAATGATAGGTATATTGATAGTTATCTGTTTTATCCTTTCCATCATTCACAGCTATGTCCCCAGAACAGAGAACAGTGCCTGGCCCGCAGCAGTTGCTCGATAAATAAATGAATCCAAGAGCCCTTCTTTCAGAACTAGAATTATTCCTTCCCTGCACTTTGCTTCCCTATCTAGACCTCATCTTCCCCCTCTCCACTCCCCTCTACCCTGCCTAATGACCAGCTGCTTGAAAAGACTACAGGTCCCAGGTTTCACTCCCTTTAACTAACTGTACACTTTTTTGGACTCCTCACCCCTTTACAGGCTTCTGCCTGGCCCAGTCCCCTCCAGCTCCCCTTCTTTCATTCGACATACCTCCTCGAAATTACCAGAAGACGCCTGTTTCTTTCACGTCTCAGGTCCTTCCGCCAAGAATGCCTTTGCAATATATTCCTGGAGCAAACTCAACCATTCTTCAAGGCTCAGTTTAGGCCTCACTTCCTCCAGGAAGCCTTCCCCGCATCTAGTGTCCCACTGCTTCGGCGACTTCTTTACTCAGAGCTGTCACTGTCAGAGCCTAGGTCCGTGTTCTCCCACCATCCCCTGAACTCCTCGAAGGCAGGAACGGGGTCTGATTCAACCCCCTGTACCAAGCACCCAGCACTAGGTGCATAATGAATGAAGGATGGATGGGGGAGGAGCCCTCGACTACTAAAGGCGGGGTCTGGTGACAAATGAGGGGGTGTGGCCTGTGCGGATAAGAAGCCCCGGGAGAGGACAAGGTGAAGAGCCAATGGGGAACCAGGAATTGAGGAGGGGCGTGACCTGTAGCCAATAAACGGTGGGAGATAAGGCGAAGGGCGTGTCCAATGGAGGGTGGGGCCAGGAGACAATGGAGTGGAGGGTTCTCCGGGAGATCAGGAAAGGTCGCGTCGCGCGCCTGCTCCCGGCGTTTGGGGGGGTCCGTCCGCGTGCGGTGCCCCCACCTGTTCGCCCTTTATCTTGCCGCCCGCCGCTCCAGCTCTGCTACACCAGCCACCGGCCGCCCGGCCGGCGGGAGCCGACGCCGATGACGTACGTCCTCGGGCGCGCGCACGCTCTTACGAAAGCGGGGAGCTTCTCATCAGTCTCCACGGCGGCGCGCCCCCGAAGCCGCTGGGAGCGAAGCCAGGCAGGGCTGAGGGGGTGGTGTTCGTGGTCCTGGGCCCGCCCCCTTCCCAAGGCCCCAGCGAGTTACTGGGCTTCAGGGGCTCCCAGGTGGCCAGGGCGGCCGAGACTCTTGCTCACGGCCTGGGCGCTGAGACGTGGGGGCGTAGCCCGCGGCCTCGGGAACGCAGTCCGCACAGAGGGCAAATGCCTGCATAGGCGGGGCGCAGCTCGTGTACCAGGTCGGGAGCCAGGATACTTTAAGCGTGTCACTGTGCAAGGACTCCCTGAACCCTCGTGGGCACTTTTATTCCATCCCACCTTCCCCAACACACACACACTCAGGCGTCCGGGAGCCGTGGTTTATTCTGAGAGCAGCCGGGCTCGGGCGCAGGACCCCGAGGGCAGGCAGGAGGCCGGCGCGGGCGCTGGGGCGGGCACGAGGCTGAAGAGGGCGCGGCGGCTAGCGCGGGGCGAGGGCGGCAGCGCAGCCTGAAGCGAGCTGAGAGCGGCCAGTTGCTGCTCCCGGGACAAGTCACCGCGCAGGCCCAAGAGGGCGGAGACGTGGTCCTCGCTGCAGGGGCACCAAGGAGGCGTGTCAGCCCCGTTCTCCCCGCCCTCCGGCTTCTCCTCCCTCCTGGACCCCCGTCCGCACCTCACGTCGGGAAACTGTTGCTGCAGGCCAGCCACCTCCAGGCCCAGCAGCGCGGGGTCGCGGAGGTTTAGCAGCTCCCTCAGGGCGAGCAGCACCGGCGCGCAGTGCGCGTTCTCCTCCAGGCCCTGAGCACGTCGGGCTAGGGTCTCGCGCCAGCCCTCGTCTCCCACCCAACCACTGAGACTCCCGCCCGTCTGCCCGCCAAGAAGCTCTCACCAAACCGAGGAAAAGCTGCTGAAGCTGGGCAGCATCGTGCCGCAGGCGCTCGGCCGCCTGGGTCCTCTCGTCCGCTCCGCGGCACACCAGGCGGCCTTGCATCAGCGCGCGCAGGTACTGGAGCACCACGGCGCGCTCGGCCTCAGCCAGTAGCAGCTGCGGGGAGGCAATCAGGTGGGTGCAGGTCGCCTCTCTCACCCGCGCCGCCCCTTCCCCAGCCTTTTCCCCCAACACACCTGAACCGTGGGGTTCCGCACGCGCCCGAAGTCCCGACAGAAGCGCCCCGCCCGTTCGCACACACTTTCCAGCAGCTCAGGGCTCGACAGCCACTGGCGCGAGGGCAGGTCCGCGAACAGGGGCTGGGGAAATGATCCAGACCTGGCATTGCCGCGGAGACCCCCATTGTACGCTGTACCGCCACCTCTCCACCTCCTTCTCCCATCCTGACCTGAAGGAGGCCTCACCTGGAGCTCCACCTGCAGCGCCTCCAACACCAGGCGGCAGATCCTCCTCTGTAACTTGTCCAGCGCAGCTTCCACCGGAGCCAAGGCCCCTGAAGGCGCCCCGTCCAGCTGCAGGACAGACACTGAGGAGCTGGACCGAGCAAAATTACGGCTTCAGGACCAAGGCCAAGGCCCGCATGGCCCTCGGTGGTCCAGCCCCTCCGGCGCCACCTTGTGGGGCAAGTGTTGATGGGAGGGAGCGAGAACAGCGGCTCCCTGCACTTCTGGTCTCAGGCATGGACCAGGGCTGGGAGGCGGCGCTCGGCGAGCTACAAAGGACACAGCCCAGCGGGGACCTGCCTCTAATTCGCGGTGCGACCTTGAGCAAAACATTCTTTCTGTTTCTGGTTCCTCATTCGTAAAGGGAGGGAACTATCCCAGTGAGGAGGGAGTAAAAATCATCACTAACTTGTTTTCCTTGCCCCCACCAAAAAGAACATACCACCCAAGAGGAAGGCAGTGTGTGTGTGTATGTGTGTGTGTGTACATACAGCTGTAACCCCAGATATTACTGGCACAGAGTAGGGCCTTGAAATATTTGCTGGACGAATGAGCAATTGACATCATGTGCCAGGCACTATGGTAGGCACTTGACATGCTATCTCATGTGATTCTCGGAACATTCCATTAGTACCCACATAATACTAATGAGAAAAGTGAGATTCAGAGAGATTAGGTAACCCATCCAAGGTCACATAACTAGTAATTAGCAGAACTAGAATTGGAACCCCAGGGCGATGTGAGTCCAAAGTCCCTAGTGTCCTAGTGTGGGCTGGGCCCATACACAATAGGTACTCAATAGGGGGTTAGTGAAGGTGGGGTTCCCCGGGGGCCTTCTGGTACCTGAGTGCTGACTGGTGGTTGAGGGCGGCCAGTAGGTAGGGCACATAATGAGGGACCATTGCTTTCCCCCTGAGGTGGTCTCGGGAGAATCGGATCAGAGCGTCACTGAAGCTGCAATGGGCAGAGGTGGCTCCTGGACTTGCTGCTATGCTGGCACCCCCACAGCCCCAGTCCCTGGTACTCCTGTCCCACCTCCAAGATACCCAAGTCCTTGTTTGAAAGAGCCCTTTCCCTGTGATATGTCTTATTCATTCAGAGTCCCTTTCGGCTGCCTGGGGAGCAGGGATAGGGATCAGGAATGGGTCAGTGGCTCGACAGACCTCCTCAGGAATATGCCCAGTTCTGACAGTGCCATGCCATGCACTCGCTGTTGTAGTGACTCACTGACCAGGCTGGCCACACGAATGTTCTCTTCCAGGATCTGCAGGCAGAAATGAGCAGCCATCAGCAAAGCCTCCCTCCTTTCTCTCCTCCCCATTGCCCCATGGAGGGTGCCTGCCTCTCTGGCCACTTCCCACCTACCTGCAGCACGATGGCTGGCATTGGTGAGTAATAGGAGCCAGACGGGTCCGTGTTGGGCCCCTGCTCCCGGCCCCACTCAGCTACCTCCCCATCCAGTGCATTCTGCAGCCACTGGGACACGCTTGCCTGGAGGGAGGGGCCAGGGGCAAAGGAATGTAGCAGGGATCTGACCCTGCCGGAGATGGGTAGACATTCCACTCTGCAGATAAAGGCCCACAGCAGATGCATAGGACTGCTCTGGACCTTTGCCTCAACTACTCACCTGGACGTTGGCCACAAATGTTGCCTCCAGCTGCTCAATGTTCTCCAAGGTCAGGAGGGGCTCCAGCTGCGACACATCAGCCTCAGGCCCCAACTCCAGGCTCCCCATCATTTCCTGCCTGGAGATGGGTGGCCTGGTGTCACACCAAGTCCCCAGCCTCTGATCCCCCACATCCCGCCGCCCCAAAGGCACTGACCCCAGGTATACATGCAGTGCCCAGTGCAGCAAGGCGAAGGCATCCGCAGCTTCCAGCTCAGGCCCTGCAAGGAGGTGCTGCAGGCTGCGGCGCAGACCGCTATGCAGTGTGTGGGCCCATAGCTGGACCACATTGTACTGCGGCGGGCAGCAAGGCGCTACTAGTGCCTCAGCTGTGGCCAACTCAACTGGCAGGGCCACTCGCAGAGCCTCCAGCCACCCTGGTAGGGCCCCTGGCGCAGGCAGCAGAGGTGACCCAAAGTGGGTCTGCTCCAGGCCCTCCTGTAGTGCCCTCAGACAGCGCTGCCGCCAGTCCCGGGGGACCTGGCCCAGGGGGGTTGTTCGTCCAGTCTCCACCTCCGCCACACGCACAGCAGCCACCAGCAGGGCTGGGTCCTCCCGTGCCAGCTTCCCCGCGGCCCCTGCAGCTGCTTCCACAGCCTGGCCCAGTGCCTCGAACAGAAGGTCCAGCCCCTGGAAGACTGGCAACTCCAGGCCTCCCAGGGGTGCCCACGTATCCTCTCGAAGCTGCTCCAGCTCCCGAAGGCTCATATATGCCTCCAAGAACTGTTGGGCATCAATCAGGGTCTGTGTGTGGGCCACTGCAGCTGGCACTAATGAGAGTGGAAAGGAGATGGCCCTGGGTCTCAGCCTTCCCACCGCCTCAATGTGTACGGCAGGGGATACTGAGGCCCAGGGCTGGGGTGATGTATAAAATATTTAATAACCAGTAGAGTAGAGTAAGCTGGGCACAGTGGCTCATGCCTGTAATCCCAGCACTTCGGGAGGCCAAGGTGGGCAGATCACTTGAGGTCAGGAGTTTGAGACCAGCCTGGCCAACATGGTGAAATCCCATCTCTACTAAAAATGCAAAAATTAGACAGGCATAGTGGCCTGTAATCCCAGCTACTTGCGAGACTGAGGCAGGAGGATCGCTTGAACCTGGGATATGGAGGTTGCAGTGAACTGAGATCGCACCACTGCACTCCAGCCTGGGCGACAGAGTGAGACTGTCTCAAAAACAAAACAAAACAAAAAATGAACAAAAAGCCATAAATACATAAAAAAAAATAACCAGTAGAGTACTGGCCAATCTAAGAGGATCTTGGCAATGTCCTGGTGGGCCAGAGGTCAACCCATGAGCTCATGGAACATGAGGAAGCTGAGGATCCCGGAGGGAAGGCAGGGGAGATCGGGGGGTCCTGCCAGTACTCACTCAGCCACTCTGTAGGGAAAAGTTTCAATATACTGATAACCAGGTAGCCAGAGTCATGTGACTGGGTGTCCGTCCTGACTCAAGCATCCCACATGTGGGAATCCCAGGATGAGTTGATTTGCACCCTGCCTCGTAGGCCATGGGAAGCCCGGGCTACTCTCTGGGAGGTCCCTGGTGTGCCCCTCTATGCAGTTCCCCATCTAGTGCCCCAGCCCCTTCATTAGGGATGGGTGTTTGTGGACTGACTATTGGAGGCTGAGGCCCAGGGTCCCTGCACGCTCACCTGCCCGCAGCCGAGGCAACAAGTGAGACATGGCCTGCAGTTGCTTGTACTGGGCAACCCGCTCCCGTAGGGGCTGCAGAGTCCGTAAGGCCTGGGACATGCCCTGGAGCAACCCACGGGCCTGGCTCAGGGCCTCCCGGGTTCCCTGCACTGCCTCAATGGCCTGGGCCAGCTGCCACACACCAGTCTGCACGCCTTCCAGGTACGACTGCACCACTGACTGTGGAGAGATGGAGCCAGTGAGACCAGGCCAGCCCTGCAGCACAGTCCCAGCACCGGCACCCCCCACCCCATGCCTACCTTGAGGCGTGCTTCCAGGGAGCAGGTACGCTGCACCTCGCGGCTGCGGTACTGGCCTAGCCTGGCCAGCTGCTCCGGCCGGTAGAAGATGCCCGAGGCCCACTTAAGCGCTGCACCCCGGGCCAGCTGCTCTGCCCGCTCCTGCTCCGGCCACTCAGGCCCTGGGCAGGAAGAGTCTGGGCAGCCGTGTAGTTAGGGAAGGAGGGCCCAGTGCCCCCAGTCCCAGCTTTCTTATTTATTTCTTTGTTTGTTTATTGAGATGGAGTCTCGCTCTGTTGCCCAGGCTGGAGTGCAGTGGTGCAATCTCAGTTCCCTGCAACCTCCGCCTCCCAGGTTCAAGTGATTCTCCTGCCTCAGCCTCCCGAGGAGCTGGGATTATAGGCGTGCGCCATCACGCCCAGCTAGTTTTTGTATTTTTAGTAGAGACAGGGTTTCACTATATTGGCCAGGTTGGTTTCGAGCTCCTGACCTCAGGTCATCCGCCCATCTTGACCTCCCAAAGTGTTGGGATTACAGGCGTGAGCCACTGCGCCCAGCCAGTCCCATCTTTGTTGCCATCATTCCTCCCCCAGTCCACCCAGAAGGTTCATACCAGGGGACAACTCCGGCTGCATCTCATCCTTGGCTGCTGAGTCCATTGCCGGCCTGGAGGAGCCAGAGCTGAGGTGGGCCCGGGGCAAGCAGGCAGAGTAGATGCCCCTCTGAGCTGCTGCCTCTGTCTAAGCCCTTCTGAGAAGGAGGAAGGAGGTTCTTCCTGGCCCTCTCAGGAAGTGAGAGGGAGGGGGTGTGATGCGGAGGGCACCTGGGAGGCTTTGCCTGCTAGGTTTCCCAGTCGTGCCTCCTGCAGATGTCAAGCGAGTCAGGGTGGGCACAGGCCTCCACTGGACCCTGGTCCTGCTCTGAGCTGCACAGGACAGTTTGATACAAAACTTACCAGATTTGATCAGGCGTCCAGTTCTCCCTCCACAAATGACCTTGGTCTTGAGAACAGCCCTCTCCCCCGATGCAGCTGGGCACGCCTGCCACTTGCTCACAGGGCCTGGGCAACTCCAGCTGACTCCAGTGTGCAGCTGAATTCCTCTCCCCAAAGAAATCTCTCTCCCACTCCCCAGCCCAGAAGCCCCTTCTTCCCACCAAGGCTCCTCCCTCCCCAAGGCCATCAACAGAAAGGAAGGAAGCTGAGTCGCTGGCATTTTATTCCCAACAGGAAAGAGAGTCTGCACGGAGGGTGGGGAGGGCTGGGCGACACTTCCCTGAGGGGTGGAGGGGTGGGGTGTACTTGTATTCAACCAGTCTTGACCAGCCAACCCAGAACCTCTTAGTGCTCAGGAGAGGAGACAGGGATTTGCTAGACTTGGCCTCAAGCTGGGGTGGTGGGCAGGGTGTGTAGATATGGATGCAGACGACATCAACAGCACAGGATGAAAACTGTGTTGGTCAGCCTCCGAGGAGGATGTGTACCTCTGCGGAGGAGTGAGAGGTGGCAGGCTGTTGTGAAGAGGGGTATGGTGGGGGATGGCAGGAGAGGGTCATGAAAGCTGTGGGTTTTTTTTGTTTTGTTTTGGACAGGGTCTCGATCTGTCACCAAGGCTGGAGTACAGTGGCACCATCATAGCTCACGGCAGCCTTCTGGGCTCAAGTGATCTGCCTGCCTCAGCCTCCCAAAGTGTTGGGATTACAGATGTGAGTCACCGCAACTGGGCAGCTGTGTTTATCTTGAGAGTTATAGGGAGCCAGGGAAGGGACTATAAGGTGGTAATAATTTAGTGGATGTTCAGTCCACCACCCAAATCCACCCTTCGGGACAGAAGCGCTCATTCTCCAGCTGCCAGGAGTGTAGGCTGCTGAGATCAATATTGGGGTGCAAAAGCATGGTACCATCACGTGAACATAAACTCTTCAGAAGTGCTACCCCAATTTCAGAGATCCTAGTGGCATAGGCTGAGGCCTATAATATAATTGCATCTGCCCAATTCTGCTTGTCTTACTCCCTTAAAGGTGTGGATCCTGACCAGGTGTGATGGCTCATGCTGTCATCCCAGCATTGTGGGAGGCTGAGGTCTGAGGATCGCTTGAGCCCATGAGTTCGAGACTAGCCTGGGCAATATAGTGAGACTCTCATCTCTACAAAAACTAAAAATAAATGAGCCGGGCATGGTGTGTGCATGCCTGTGGTCCCAGCTACTTGGGAGGCTGAGGTGGGAGAATCGCTTGGGCCCAGGAAGCTGAGATGGCATTGATCTTGCCACTGCAGTCCAGCCTGGGCAACAGAGTGAGACCCTGTCTCAAAAAAAAAAAAAAAAAAAAAGAAGTGTGGATCCCCAACAAACTTGCTGCAAAACCCTGTCTCGAGTCCCATTTCCCATAGAACCTGCCCTAAAAGAAACAATAATAAATAGTAACAATGTTAAAAGTAACAAAATGACCCTAGCAAACTTTCCTACATGCCAGAAATGACTCTGAGTGCTTTACTGATATATACACATAGGTAAATACGTTTGCATTGGCTGAAGTGTATATAACCCCATAGTCTCTGAGCACTGTAGCGGGAGGACAAGATGAGCGAAAGATGAGGCTAGGACCATGGATGGAGAGAGGTGGACAAGGGAGATATAGTTAGTGCTTGCTGTTTGGCAGGAAGTGAGGGACAGGAATAGATGGGGTGACCCCAAGACAGTAGGGCAACCTTTAGGAACAGGTTTGATGTGGCAGTAAAATGAGTTTGAAATATATAAAAGAATAAATAAAGAGAAAAAAATTAAAAAGGAACTGGTTTGAGGGAACAGATTGGATTAGTCAGGTAGTGTGGTCTTGTCTCCCGAGATGGGGACTGGGCAGAGTTAGTGATGTTGGGGCAGATTGGCAAGGAAAGTTCCGATGGCATCCCTTTCTCTACTGCCAGGGCTGCCCACTGACGCCCTCCTCATTCCTCCCTAACTTCATCCCAACTCCCGGTCTACCCAGGTAGTTTTCGTCTTATTTGGCGGCTGGACATTTGCTAATGGTCCCTGAAGTTTTGCGGTTGCACCCACAGACAGCAATAGCGCCGCGTTCCCTGGAAGACGCACGGGGCGGAAGCGGAAGCAGCAACGCTGGCTCCGGCTGCCGGACGGCCAGGAACGGAAGCGGAAGTGGCGGCGGCGCCGGCCTGGCCTGGCCTGGCTGAGGGGAGGCGGCGGGCGGACGCGATGGCGGAGGCCGGGCCGCAGGCGCCGCCGCCCCCGGGCACTCCAAGCCGGCACGAAAAGAGCCTGGGACTACTCACCACCAAGTTCGTGTCTCTTCTGCAGGAGGCCAAGGACGGCGTGCTTGACCTCAAGCTGGTGCGGCCCGGGCTAAGGGGCGACAAGGGAGGATGGTGGACCAGGCCTGGGCCGGTAGCGGGAACCCCGGGGGCGGCCCAGCTGGGTCCTCCGAGAGCCGGCCGCCATCGTGTGCTTTCTCACAGGAGAGAAGCCGGGGAATGTTTCATTCATTCGGCCGAGGCCATTGAGCTACAGCTATGGGCCAGGCTCGGGGCTCCAGGTGTTCGTCCTCGTGGCCCTTCCTGGCTGGCGAGGAGAAGAGCTGCCTATGGGACAGAGCTGCGGGCCTGAGCTGCAGTAGCGCCTGGCAGGCACTACAGGGTTGGAATCCAGGTTACTCCCTTCCCAGACCACGTCTCAGGGTGGCTGGGGGTACACCCGAGAGTGGGGCTGAGCATTCTCCACTCTGTCTGCCAGGCAGCTGACACCCTAGCTGTACGCCAGAAGCGGCGGATTTACGACATTACCAATGTTTTGGAAGGTATCGGGCTGATCGAGAAAAAGTCCAAGAACAGCATCCAGTGGAAGTGAGTGGGGATAGTGGGAGGGTAGTAGAGTCTCCCACACAGAAGTGTCGGGTGTGGGGTGGAGGGTGCCAAAGAAGGCAGGGGCCGTGGGACCCAGAGTTCTCAGCAGTCCCTCTCAGCCCCACTCCCTGGGCTCAGGGGTGTGGGGCCTGGCTGCAATACCCGGGAGATTGCCGACAAGCTGATTGAGCTCAAGGCAGAGATCGAGGAGCTGCAGCAGCGGGAGCAAGAACTAGACCAGCACAAGGTGTGGGTGCAGCAGAGCATCCGGAACGTCACAGAGGACGTGCAGAACAGCTGATATCCTCCTGGCGGTCCCTCCTGGGGGGAGTGGGCAAGGGGCCCTCTGGTTCAACTTGCCCTGGGCAAGCTCCCTGTTCCTCTTGGGAGCTTGTCTTGTAGCCCCTGGCCATGGCCCAGCCTCAGGCTCCCTCCTCAGAGCCTCTCCCCTTCCAGTCTTAGCCTGTGATCCCTCCCCCAGTGGACCTGAGTCCCCAGAACTTTCTCTGAGGGGCCTGTGTGTCAGACCTTGGCTAAAGAATTGGGTCTTTTTTGTAGTCTGCCATCTGTCACCACAGGGCATCGGCCATTCTCCTTAACCCTCACACTTTGGCCTACGTCACTCATGAGGACATCTGCAGATGCTTTGCTGGTGAGCAGAGCCTGGGTAGGGGTGAGGGGGTGGGCTGGGCTCAACCAAATCCCTGAGCACTGGGCTCAGTGTCTCAGGAGAGTTCCGTCTCTTAAGAGGGTTTCTGGGGCCTGCTCAGAGAGGAACCAGGCAGGGTAGGTCTTCTGTCTGAGTGTCACTGGGACCCTGTGGAGGTCAGCTATACCAAGAGGGTACAGGAATTCTGGAGTGGGTTCCTGGGTCTGTTCCCAACTGTACTGTTTCCTGGATTTGGCTTCTTGGGTATGATAGAGGTACAAGGGGGAGAAAGGGAGAGAGGATATGTGTGTATTTGCTTGTGTGCAGGCTCTTACATGCAGGGCATGGGGGTGCCCACCTCCAGCTTGTTAGTTTAATTGCATTGTGAATGCAGGATATGTTCCTTTTTTTTCTTTCTTTTTTTTTTTTTAAAAAAGAGACAGGGTCTTGCTATGTTGCCCAGGCTGGTCTTGAACTCTTGAGCTCAAGCTGTCTTCCCCGCTCAACCCCCTAAAGTGCTGGGATTATAAGTGTGAGCCACTGTGCTCCGCTGATGTGTTTCTTCTCCATCATGTATCCTCCTGACTGGTCATGGGAAAGGGATGTTGGCCTTGGCTAGAATACCTTCACCTAGGGAACAGCCATCGGTGGAGGAGTGAGGTGCCTGTGGCCAGTGATATTTGACTCCACATACTTGAACCCAGATTTCCTGGTTACTGACTCTGGGCTCTCAGGAAGAGAAGAGCTTTAGCTCTGCCCGGCCACCATGGGGAATGGGTGAGGTCCGCTGTCTAGTCCCTCAGAGACCATGATCTCCTGCCTTGCTCCAAAAGACAGGCACCTCTGTTCCCAGCTCAGATTGAGCCCATGGGCTCTGACCCATTCTCCGTGTCATTCTAGGAGATACCCTCTTGGCCATCCGGGCCCCATCAGGCACCAGCCTGGAGGTGCCCATCCCAGAGGTGGGTGCTTAGCCCAGGCAGGCGGGGTCAGCTGAGGGCGGGTGCTGGCTGTGGAGACTGATAAGTCCCGGGTGGGGCAGGTAGGGGAGGCCTGGAGTTTGGGGTTATCTAGGAGGATGGGCATCCTGGGTGGGAGAGGACACTGGTCCTGACAGAGTCGGGCAGGAGCCAAGCCTGCTTCCAATTCTACCCATCTCCCATCCCTTACCACCCATCTCTAGGGTCTCAATGGGCAGAAGAAGTACCAGATTCACCTGAAGAGTGTGAGTGGTCCCATTGAGGTTCTGCTGGTGAACAAGGAGGCATGGAGCTCACCCCCTGTGGCTGTGCCTGTGCCACCACCTGAAGATCTGCTCCAGAACCCACCCGCTGTTTCCACGCCTCCACCTCTGCCGAAGCCTGCCCTAGCCCAGTCCCAATCCCAGGAAGCCTCACGTCCAAATAGTCCTCAGCTCACTCCCACTCCTGTCCCCGGCAGCGCGGAAGTCCAGGGAATGGCTGGCCCAGCAGCTGAGATCACAGGTGAGGCACCATGGGAGCTTGTGACAGAGGCCCAAGAGGCAGTATCTCTGTGTTGTGAAACACCACACTCAGAGTTGGAAGAGACCCTTCAAGATGGGGATTGTCTTTTTCCTGACCTCCACCTAGCCTTCCCTTGCTATGGTAATGAATGAGCCTTTTTTTTTTAAATTGAGACGGTGTCTCACTGTGTCCCCCAGGCTGGAGTGTGCAGTGGCGCAATCTTGGCTCACTGCAACGTCCGCCTCCCGAGCTCAAGAAATTTTCCTGTCTTAGCCTCCCGAGTAGCTGGGATTACAGGCACCCACCACCGCACGCAGCTAGCTAATTCTTGTACTTTTAGTGGAGACGGGGTTTCACCATGTTGGCCAGGCTGGTTTCGAACCCCTGACCTCAAATGATCCGCCTGCCTCGGCCTCCCAAAGTGCTGGGATTACAGGCTTGAACCACCATGCCCGCCTGAATGGGCCCTTTTTAATAGGGAACCTCTGACTGTGGGAAGAGACATTGCTGGTGGCAGTTTTCTCCCCCAGATCCACATCCACTGGTGTCTCAATTGCCCTGGTAGCCTGTCTTGAAGTACGACCACAGCAGACATGTTGACCACGAGTCTCTTTCTGTAGGTCTTACGTTCCTGTCTGTCTCCTGTAGTGACAAATTTTAGGTTTACTTCCTCGGGGGTGACTGGCAATGCCTAATTCTCCTTGGGTCTGGAAACCAGGCTTGGGTCCTCCTGGGTCTGGGTTCCAGCACAGCCAGGTTTAACAACCTCTTCTTGACCTTGTGTGACTGGGTTTGGGGGCTATCATTGCAGTGAGTGGCGGCCCTGGAACTGATAGCAAGGACAGTGGTGAGCTCAGTTCACTCCCACTGGGCCCAACAGCACTGGACACCCGGCCACTGCAGTCTTCTGCCCTGCTGGACAGCAGCAGCAGCAGCAGCAGCAGTAGCAGCAGCAGCAGCAGCAGCAGTAACAGCAGCAGTTTATCTGGACCCAACCCTTCTACCTCCTTTGAGCCCATCAAGGCAGACCCCACAGGTGGTGAGTACCTGCCCCCTAGGGGCAGAGAGAGAGAGAGTCTAGCCTCAGTCCAGTCCTAGGTCAGAAACAATGGGGATGGAACCCAGCTCTCCCGTCAACCCTGTCGGACACGAGAGCTCTCTGCCAGCACCTCTGGGTCAGTGCTGGAGCCCCCTCTAGTACCCCATCCTAGGCTAACACAGAACTCCCTGCCCTCTCTCAAGCCCTTTCCTGCCACCCATTGGAGCACCGCCTCACTAATTGACACTTCTCTGTATCACTCTTTCTCATCTTCTCTGTCTCCTTTCTGTCTGGACTCCTTGAAAAAGTAACCTCCACTCATTGGTCTCCTAGTCACCTTTCAAGTTGCAGCAGTCACTCTCCCAGCCCCAGTGTTACAGCAGTGTCACTCTTGAGAAGCTACCAAAGGCCTGCCGAGCCCAGCAGCCTCCAGCCTGTTTTGCTGGTGCTCTCTTGGTCCGTGTCAATATTCTTTCCTCCTTTGGCATAATTATGCCAGCTCTTGGCTCTCTTGTTTCACTGGCTTCTTGAACTCTCCCTGGCGTGTCCTTAAACATTGCTGTTTTTGAGGGCTGTGTCCCATTCCACTCCTGGAGAGGGCTGTAGCTCTGGGTGAACGAATCCCCAGCCTCCGCCTGGCCTAGATCTTTTCCTGATACGCACTTTGGTGTCCACCTGCCGTCCTCTGTACATCCAATGGACACTTTATTCCTGCGTGTCCTCGACTGAACTTAGTTTCTCCCTGAAGCTTGCTTTCCACCTCTGCACACCCTACCGTCGGCCCTATTTATCCAGGCCTGATCCTTGGCTCTCACTCTTAGTTCCAGCTCCTTCTCCCTCCTCCTTGTGCTGCCCACCCCATGCCAGCTAAGCGAGGTCTGTCCCAGATGTCCTCTCCTATCCCCTGGTATCCTCAGCACTCAGGATGACCCCTGGCCACCTCTGTCCTGGATTCTTCAGCATCTTTCTCTTTACCCTGACTGACAGACTAATCTTTCTGAAATGCAGGCCTGACAGAAAAATGTGGCATTTCTCTGTTTGCAAAAGTACCTTTAATGACTCCCTGAGGGCCACCAGATAAGATCTGAACTCCTGAGCCTGGCATGTGAAATCCCTCATGGTCCTCTCTGGTTGCATTTTCTTCTGCTTCCCCTGTGTCCTCCTGGCCAGAGGTTTGTAGTGGAGTCATCACCCTGTAGCGCCACCACCTCTGCCTGGTGACCTGACCCAGGGTCTGGTCTCTGAGTCTTGCACAGAGCAGATGCTCAGCAAGGGTGGGACAGATGGGGTACCTTCCATCAGACAGGGGGTGCATGCTGAGCCCAGAAAGACGCTTCTGTGACCTTTCTGAGTTAGAAAAGCTGTACCAATCACTTGCAGTGGGCCTTTGGTGCCCTGGGCTCAGCACTGAGGAATTCAGGTTTAGCAAGTGAGGCCAACAGACAGTGCCAGCTTGGCCTAGGCAGGGCCTACTACATCTCCTCAGCTGTGTGGAGCCTCAGGGTGGGTGGTATAGGATCCGAGGAAGCCACGGGGCTGTAATGGAGCCAGGTTGGACCTCTTGTGTCCTGAGCATGGCTTTCTTGTTTTTCAGTTTTGGAACTCCCCAAAGAGCTGTCAGAAATCTTTGATCCCACACGAGGTAGGCTGCTGCATTCCTCCCTGGGGGTAGGGGTAAGGGACACAGCTCATTGGGTCCTACGGCTGTTTTCTTGCCCTTTTGAGGACCTTGTGGTGGCGCTTATGGTAACTGGGGCAAAGGGTGAAGTTCCTGATGGGCAGGTGGGGTTCCCTTTCCTGGACTTTGGTAGCTGGAGAGTTGGGAGCTGGAATGTTAGTAACTGAGCTCCCTCCATTCCCAGAGTGCATGAGCTCGGAGCTGCTGGAGGAGTTGATGTCCTCAGAAGGTGGGTGGCCCTGGAAGATGGGAGTGGTTGTGGGCAGGGGTTGGGCTGCTGCTAGGGGAGCCCTGGCCCAGGGCCTGAGACTAGTGCTCTCTGCAGTGTTTGCCCCGCTGCTCCGTCTTTCTCCTCCCCCCGGAGACCACGATTATATCTACAACCTGGACGAGAGTGAAGGTGTCTGTGACCTTTTTGATGTGCCTGTTCTCAACCTCTGACTGACAGGGACATGCCCTGTGTGGCTGGGACCCAGACTGTCTGACCTGGGAGTTGCCTGGGGACCTCCCCCATCCAACCCCTACACAGCTTGAGAGCCACAGATGCCTGGCTTCTCCAGCCTCCCCTCACCACACAGTTCTGGCCACAGCTCCGGCTCCTGTGCTGGCACTTCTGTGCTTGCAGAGCAGGGGAACGGAATCAGCCCCCATCACCGTGGAGCCAAAGTGTTTGCTTCTCCCTTTCTGCGGCCTTCCCCAGCCCAGGCTCGGCTGCCACCCAGTGGCACAGAACCGAGGAGCTGCCATCGCCCCCCCATAGGGCAGCTTGTCCAGCCTCACTGTCTTGCTCCTGCCAGCTACTTCCCCTAGGAGTGAAGGGTGGCATGGAACTGGGCACGTGCCAGCACCACCCCTAGCTTCCTTCGCTGTCCCCCACCCCCTGACCCTCCAGCTCCTCCTGGTCCTCTCACATGCCACCTTCTGCTGGGCCTTTAGCCCTAGAACCTGCAGGTGGTGGGGTTGGCTACCAAGAAGGAACAGAGGTCTCAGGAGGAGTCTGGGTGGTCCAGCCCTGAGGATTGACCCCACCTCCTGCTGCCCCATATCCTATCTTCATTTCTGCTTATTCATTTACCCTCATTTAGAGCCATTTGCAGAGATTTAGAAAGATTTACAGTAACGAATGGATTCCTATATAAAGATTATTTTTATACTTTTTGCAGCAAAAGGAAATTGTAATATTTGTACAGTGTCCAAGTGAATAAAAACCGTGCCTAAGGCTAGCTCTGATGTGGTTCTTTCGGGACCCTCCTTGGGACTGTGCTGGATTGGCAGTGTGACTGGGTGGGTCACCTTGCTGGAACCGGGGGTGTGGGGCGGCCTCCGGCAGCCTGCCCTCCCCACCCCCACCTGCTGCACGTAGGTGTGGGGCGGGGCCGCCTCGGCGGGGCGGGGCAGGCGGGGCGGGGCAGGCAGAGCCGTCCTACCTTCCTATCCCCGGACTCCAACCCGGAACTAACCTCGGCTCTCATGGGAAGGCCGCATTGCATGGCCAGGTCAGTCTGGGCCGCGAGTGCGGGACACCAAGGTCAGGTCTCGGAAAGAGGGAGGACCTCCTCGTCCCCAGGGGCCCCAGGCCAGGTGTGCCCTTGGCCGGAGGTGCACGGTCTCCGAAAAGTGCAGGTGCCCACGCCCCGGCTGGACCATGACGCCTCCGCGGAACGTGGTGAAGATTGCCATCCAGATGCGTGACGCCATCCCGCAGCTCATCCAGCTGGACCAGGTCACCTGGCTGGTCCCGCCTCCATCTGCCCCGCGGCCCCACCTCCCAGTAGCCCCCTGGCCCTCGGGGCAGCC